ACACACATTCTAACATGTAGCCACCTGTCTCGTGTGGTCTACGCCAGGTATCGCCAATCTTATAGGACTGACCCCCTTCATGGCACCGATCTGTGGCAAACAGAAAATAGTTTAGTCATCACCTAGTTGAGAATTAGGCCTGTGTATATTCACTGTAGAACAGCAAACAATCCAATCCCCTGTCATTTAAACAGCATCCTCTTCAGGCATCCTAAGTCAACGTGATATGAACTTTTAGCGAAGATAAATGCTAAGAGGAAAAGAGTTACTGTCAGGGAATCTGGGCCTGCAGCAGAGCTAATCTTCAGGCAGCCTCATCGGTACAGCTGGCCTGCAGCAGGCTGCCTGATTGGCCATGCTGCCTGATTGGCTGCAGGCACCAGCAGACCGGTTCTTAAACCAGCAGCCAGGGCCGGCTCCAGGCACCAATGCAGCAAGCTGGTGCTTGGGGAGGCCCATGGAAGGGAGTGGCACGTCCGGGTCTTCGGCAGCAGGTCCCTCATTCCCCCTTGGAGGGAAGGACCCGCTGCCAAAGTGCCGCCGAAGCAGCGGTGGTAGAAGTGCTGACTGCGGCTTTTTCTTGCTTTTTTTTTCGCCACTTAGGGCGGCAAAAACGCCAGAGCCAGCCCTGCCAGCAGCAGCAATTTACTGGCTGTTTGATGCTCATGCTCACCACTGTTCCTACTCCTACCTTATCTTGGGCCTCTGCCTTGAACCCCTCCTTGCCTTCTACCCTGCTTGCTCCAATTCCTGCCGTCTGGTTTGACTTGGCCCTTGGCTCCTGACTACTGACTCTCACTTGACACTTGGCTCTGGTATCCGGTTCCCACCCTCCAGTTTGACACTTGGCTTTAGCTGCTGACTCCGGCTCCTATCCTAGTCCTTGGGGCCCGATGCCTGCTCTACCCACAAAGCTAGACCACTCTCCTTCCAGTTGGCTGACAATTATTGTCAAAGGAAGGCGTTTCCTTGAATGTCAAAGAAAGAGTTCCAAATAGAAGAGTCGTTGACGCTTTCTGAAGTTCCTCAGTCACCCACAGCACTCAGGTGAGACTTTGGTGTTTCATCAAAAAAAAAGTTTTTTTTTTTGCATGAAAACATCTTTTTTTTAAATGAATTTGTTAGGCTTTTTGGTGGGAAATTGCTAAAGAAAAGAAATTCAATTTTTTTCCAATTTCAAATCGCATTTTTCATTTTGTTTTAGTTTACAATTTTTTGTTTTATTTCAGTTTTTAAAAACCAAACCAAAACTTTCTCTTCAAGTTTAATTGAAATGAAAACTTCGGCGTCAAATCAAAACAAACTTTCATTTCATTTAGACATTCCCACAAAAGTTTAAAAATTTCAAATAAATTGTTGTTCACAACTTTTAAAGAAACTGGTTTTTCAACTGGCTCGACTTAGGCCTGTTGAATTGCCAAGAACCAGGAGACCCAAGAGTGCTAACCAGAATTTAGAAAACAAGAAGATCTGAAGGGGCTGGACCTTACAGTTGGATATTATGATATTAATCCAGCTAAATCTAAAATTCAATGCGCTGACATACTATAGGCCGATTCAAAGACCTGCATGGCAGTGTTATGATCAGATGGATTTGTAATAAATACATTTTGGATCCACTAGTTAGCACAGATCCATTTGCCGAAAGAACAGCAAGTGGAGTATTGCAAGGGCTGAGTCTGAATGGATAAGGATCAAGATTCAGAGGCACCTGACCTTGGTCTAATTCCTAAAATGACCAAACAATCTGAGCAGTAGCAGTGATATGACACCTGATTCAAAGCCAACTGCAGTCAGGGGAGTCTTTCCACTGCCTTCAGTGGGCTTTGGCTCAAATCCATGATGAGGAAATGGAAGTCACAGCTTAACAATCATTTAACATCTTGAACCGGAAATCTCCCGTTTCTGATTCTGGGCCAAACTCAGCAGTGTCCAATGCAACTCCACTGAATGCAAGGCAGAACTTAGCCCCTCGGCCTTTGCAGGATTTCCTTCCATCCAATACTGAGAGTTCACGTCTGATGTCTTGTGGGAAGTATGCAGAGCTGCATGTTGCAAATCAAACCAAACCAGCTGTTGTGTTAAAGATGCAATAAAGCTGTGATTCTCAAAGACAGCATAGGGACTGGGAAATCTAAGCCCAAATGTACTGATAGAGTGCTCTTCATCTACGGTAGCAGAAACTGTTTTGCAGACAGAGTCTAAATCAGGAGCTAAAGAGAAGTGGTTAGCAGGTGACTTAAAAGAGTGACCCAACAACTCAAAGGAAAGGAGTTCCAGATAGCGAGGCAACACAATAAAAGGGTGAGAAGAGAGCAGAGGGGAGGGGATGGTGAGGAAGCCAAGACAGGAGAAGCAGAATGGGTAAGAAGCATGTTGGGAATGGTCTGAGAGATCACAATCTCTAGCACATAGGCTCTCAGAGTGGGTGTCGCTACAGAGGCCACATTAAGGGACAGATACTCAGCTGGTGTAAATCAGCACAAATCTATTGATGTCATTGAAGCTATGCTGGTTTTCACCAGCTGAGGATTTGGCCTTCATTCTCTGCAGTGAGTATACACTGTTCCACTAGAGTTGCCATCAAGATCCAATGCATCTCTGATGGCTGTAATAAGCATGCAGCAGCTGAAATACTTTATACTGGACCTATTGGCAGGGCACTAACACACGTATCGCACTATTTTTAACATGTCGTCGATTGGAACATTTGCTCGTTAAAGCCCAATCCTGCCAGCCTTGCTCAGACAAATAATTCCATTGACTTCCATGGGACCACTCATGCGAAGAGGATGAGCTTTTTCAATGGAAAGATTCCAATTGACTTCAGTGGGCTTTGCATCAGTCCGCATACTCCTAAGCAATAAGCAAATCTGCATTGCACTTGGGGTTGTCAGGTCAACCTCTCTGGAAAATGCACAACACTGAAGAGCAATGGCTCAAGCAATATCTTTGTTACATACTTGCAATGGTGCAGCTAATTCGCCCACGTCCAGCCCCGACGCAGGTACAATCCCAGATCATGGAGTCTTTGGGGCGCTCATAAGTCTCCCCTACCCGATAGGTAGATCCAGTGTATTTGTCAAAGCAAGTTTCTTCAGCTGAGGGGAAAATAAAGTCCATGTGATGATGAATTAAGGTGCAGGCTGTAGCATTCAAATTGCAAGAACACAAACCACATACACTCCTATTCCCCTCCCTCCCTCACCACCGTTTTTCCTTGTGCAGGAAAATTCAGATGTGTCTAGTTTTCTCTGAAGAGTAACAGTCACATATTAGTGTGGCAGCATGAAAGTCGGCAGAGTGGAATTCATGCAAGCACTGAGGGCTCACACAAGGCCCCCTACCCAACTGCAAACTAGCTGATTTGTGCTGCGCCAGCAACAAAAGACAGCCATAAACCATCTCATCAGTTAAGATAGGTTTATGGCTGCTTGGCATCACCAGAGCAGCCCAACACAGCCTGAGCAAACCAGTGAATACAGCCCAGTAAATAAAGTTCAGTTTGATTATCCAAATGTCCCTGTTACCCCAAACAGGGTCACATCCCCCAACATCTGTTACATTTAAAAATCCCCCTGTTATCCAAAACCTCAATTTTATCCAAATTTATTCCATGTCTCCCTATGACACTTAGATAGTTGAGATCAAAATAAATCGGAATAAGAATAATTACTCCAACCTTACACCCAACTATGGGACACTCATATGCAAGTTAGAAGGATTGTGAAACAAGTTGCAAATGAAAGTCAACTTTTAAAATGTTTTTAAAAACGGTTTGACAGCATTAGGCTATGAAGTGCATATTAACAGTTACAGACCATACAATCAGATAAAAAGTTTAGAGAAGTCAGAGCTGAAAAGTTGGGCTCCAGATCTGTTGTGTACTCTGCAATTGTTAGGGATTTCAAATCTAGGGCCAGGGCAGATCATTATAGAGATGAGGCAAAGTTCAGATTCAGATCCACACTTCAGGCTGAGTGTTATCTGGACCCAGGGTTCCGACTGCAGGCCCATGTCTAATGAAGGCTACCTCTTAAAATCTCAGGCCAGATCCCCAGTGTAAATGAACGTAAATCCATTACTGACTCTCATGCCCATTAACATGAGCTAAGAATCTGATCTGTGCTCTATACGGTTTTTTTAATGCTTATTTTAATTGGCCTCACAACCCATTTTTCATTCATCATGACTCCCACCAACTTACGTTCAGGCTTGCTTTCGCAGTTAAAGCCTCTGCTTCCCCCATAGCAGGTACAGATGAGCATGTTTCCCAGGTATATGCGTTCCCATTGTTGGCTTATCTGATAATATCTCCCATTATCATAACAGCCCTCTGAAAAAGAAAGAGAAGTCTTGGGTTACATTAGCCTCCTTCAACCACAGAGCTCCAAACAAAAATAAAAAAGGAGAGTTAAATCATGTGTGGACTATACATTAGGTCCTGATGCTGCATTCTTTGCATATGCAAAACTCCCACTGAGACAATGGGAGTTTGGGACACACAGAGAAAGCAAGATCAGGCACCTGAATGTCAATCCACACCACATTAGATACTGCAGTACCTGCACAGGAGTTTAGAGAGACTTTAGTCTTAAAGGTGCCACAGGACCCTCTGTTGCTTTTTACAGATTCAGACTAACACGGCTACCCCTCTGATATTTGAAACAAAGAGTTATCAGACTCAGAATCTCATCTGGGGCCTGATCCAAAGCTCCATTCAATTCAATGGAAAGACTGCCGCTGACTTCAGTGGGGGCTTTGGATATGTTCCAGCCACTGTAGGATTGTTTCCCAGGTTTACATTTACAAGTGTTTTGTCCAGGTCAGTTCCAAGTGTGCCAAGCAGCAGGGCTTCCGCCACATCCCTTGAGAGATCATTTCACAGCCTGATAGATCTCAGTGCCAGGAAGTTTTTCCCTGATGCAGCTTCAAGTTCCCCAGACGCTTTCAAAGGTGACAACTGCAATTGTTCCAGCAAACATCTCCCAAATTGTGTTTGCAGAAAGAGTGTTTTAGTGTTTTGTTTTAAGGTTATTTTTAATTACATGTAATAATAAAACTATTGTTTTCTTAACTAAGGGCTCTAATGAAAACCATATACCCAGAACTGAAACATGAAAATAGCAGCTGTTTAGTTCAAATAAAAGTTTGGCATCTACATTTCATCAACTAAACCAGATCCCATTACACTATACTTCTGCCTTAATGACAAAAAACCACAGGGGCAGTTTATGCTATTCTTACTGGAGTAGTACCACTGGGGCTGAGAATCAACTGCATAAAGAAGGGTGGCAGAATTTACCCCACTTGGGCTGGAGCCGTGGTGCATCAGAGTGTAACATCCAGACATTCAAAGGCAAACAGAAAACTTTCCCCAAGCTCACTAAGTGCATCGCCCGCGAGTCTCTCGCTCGCTCTATGTAGTGCTTGTTGCAGCGTGGAGCTAAAATCTGACCCAGCTGCTGGAACAACTGGGATCACTTTGGATCTCCATTTATCACAGAATTCGCTATGCACAAAAAGCACCTACATACCCAGGGCTGCAGCCTGCGGGGGGGAGATTTTGGCTTGGTTTCTAAAGTCCACTACTGGACCCCCCCCCCCCACGCATCTGTGGCAGTGTCCCTCGTCCCCCCCCCCCTTTGCGGTGGATCTGTGCCCCCCAGATACTCACGTTTATTCTGGCTGCTTGGGACCTGCGGCTGGACTATTTGTTGGCTTTGCCTCCTGGTTTTGCCCGTCTTGGGTTGCGAGCTTTGCACCCCTGTCCCCAGGCACAAGGCAACCAGCAACAGCAGCAGGCTGCCGGGCATCTTCAAAGGCTGGAGAGGGAAAAACGGCACTAGGGAGAGAAGCGGGCTTGTGGCTCTTCACGCTGCAAGCCCAAGGCAAACAACTTTCATGGGGCTCGTCCTTGCACTCCTGCCTGGCTCCTTCTCCTCCTCCAGCCTGCGAGCGAGCGGCAGACGGCTGGCTCCAGGGGGTTTATATAGGCCCCTGCTCCGGGGACCCCCCGGCAGGGCTCGCCACAGAGAGAGAGGGGGGAGGAGGATCCCCACCGGGACACCCCTTTGCCGCTCTGATTGGTCCAGGCTCCTGGCTGACGTCATGGGGGTGTGCCTCCAGCCGCGGACAAAAGATGCCGCTTGCAGGAGCGGCAGCTCCAGCGCAGGGGACGGGCGAGAGTTTCTCTAACTTCCCCTGAAACTTGGCTAAGCCTGTGGCGGGGGCAGGCTCGGGGCCCGGGTCCTGGCTCTCAGCTTTGCAAAGCCGAGGATGCTGAGAAATGAGAGCTGGGGAAGACCTGGAAAGTCAAATCATAGATCCCCCTCCCGAGGGGCCAGTGCAGGGCTATTCGTTCCCTTCGGTGTATTGAGAGGCTGGGAGTTAATAGTGAAAATCAGCCCAAAGGAAAAATCAGTCTTTATTTAAAAAAAAAATACTGTATACACTGAAAGCACCCACATCATTTTTGGCAGCCTTGAAACTCGTTCACAAAAGGCACTAGAAACACCAAAAAAACTCTCATACTGTACTCCCTGCAAGCTTATCCATAGGGGAACTGAGACATTAAACATTTAGTACAGTGGTTCTCACACTTTTGTATTGGTGACCCCTTTCACATAGCAAGCCTCTGAGTGTGACCCCCCTCATAAATATATAAAAATGTGTTTTTAATTTAACACCATTATAAATTCTGGTGGAAAAGTGGGGTTTGATGTGGAGGCTGACAGCTGGTGACCTCCCCATGTAATAACCTCACGACCCCCTGAGGGGTCCCCGACCCCCAGTTTGAGAACCCCCGATTTAGTACAAAGGAAACATTGCTCTGCACATCACTAGAAACTAGCAATAAATATAAACAGCAACAAAATCGGGGGGAGGGGGGGGACAACACGAAATTAGAAACCCTAAGTGTAGTTCTTGATTCCTTATCTAGTCCAGTGTTAATGACTCAAGGCAAAGGTCTTTCATCACTTCCCTTTGCAATTGTGTTGGCCTTTTAAACCCTTTGTTCACAAGCAAATCTGACAATCCATATTTTGGTGGGTTTTGGGGGGAGGGGAGAGGGGATTCTAAAATGTTTGCCTATTTTTTTCATCCCATCTTTATTTATCTCTGACCCAAGGGTTGAGATTCACTTTTGACTACTGGACAAGAACTATTTTTATATGGTTTTCTAACATCCAAATCCCAAACCTGGCAGCATTGGAGAGCTATGGGGGGGGGGAGGGGGGAGAGAAACAATAAAGATACATCTTTTAACTCCCTTGAAATAAATGAAACAATGAAAATAAAATTCTCTGGAATAATAAATATTTTGCTAACAAAAGGGCTGAGCCTCTTAGATAGAAGAGTTTGTCAGAGATGTGAATCTTAACTGCTGAACTTAAGTTTGGTTGCCAGATGTTAGAATTATTTTAAATTCCCCCAGTCTTCTATATCCTTGTCAGGACCTTGAGGGTCTCTTCTTTTCTTTTGCTTCACAGCCATCCTCCAACCTAAAAATCTTGCTTTGTGGCCACGATTCTCTTCACCAATGGGAACTAGACAGAACTTCACTTGTGCCACTCCTCAAACAGCTGGGGAAATTACTGCAGATCAAATCACTCCATGCTGTCTTCCCCAGAGTGCTTCTTAACAGCCCCTGGTGAGCAAGGTCCAGGAGCCAGCAGTCCCACGTGGATCTCCTGCATGGTAGTGGGAAGGTCACATAGCCACCATTGTAATGGTACTTAGTAATTCCTTCCGCTCAGCCATTGCTAACATTGAAAGTTTACTAGTGCTGGGGGCTTGAGCAATGCGGTTTTGTTCTTAAATCCACTTCATCTGCTGGAAGCCCTGGGCAGGAGAACTGTGGGTGTTTTGAGGAGCTGAAAAATCCACCCCCCCAAAGCCAGATGCAGTACAACCTCCCTCACCCTACAGCTTGTAGGCTGGAGCACTTGACACTGCCCCATGTGCAGCCGGTGTTGTTGTGATGTGTTTAGGGTCACGGGATCCATGCCAACATGGTTATGTTAGCCTGCCCCTGACTAGCCACCTTCTCTGATGGTCTACACGAGACCCTCATGTGTGGCCATTCCACTTGCAGCCCAAGTGTGCTGCAAAGATGGTGCTGAGGTTTTTTTTTTTTTTGCAGTAGCCCATCATGATGATGAGCAAGGCTTCCAATAACAGTTTTGCCATTATTTCTTAATTACCAAGGCCCAGATGCACAAAGATATTTAGATGCCTAACTCCCATTGAAATCAATCACAGTTAGGTGCCTAAATATCCTTGAGGATCTGGGCCCAAATGCCTTGGGAGCAACTGCTGCATGTCGTGAGCATTCTTAGCGGAGGAATAATTAACTCAACAAGCTGGATTGGTTCCTGATCTATTAGGTCAGTTCATCTGACATGCATGGATGCTAAATGCCACATGCTGCCCTCAGTTCGTTTGCTAAATTCCCAGTGAGATTTCTGCAGGAAGATCAAGTGTAATGCAAGGTAGAGGTCAAATTCTATGTACAACAACTCCTTACTGAGTTATTTGTAAAAAGAGCAGGAGTACTTGTGCACCTTAGAGACTAACAAATTTATCTGAGCGTAAGCTTTCATGGGCTAAAACCCACTTCATTGGATGCATGCAGTTTTATTATGCTATTTGCAGGAATGCGTCCAGACCCCAGTCAGAATCAGGGCCCAATTGTACTAACTATGATACCGAAGACAGCATCATTAAGGGATGAGCTTCCCAGACAGAGTGTCTGGGCCAGGTGCTGTGAAGCTCTTGTGGTCATGCACAGCAAGTTGGAACCAGACACAGAATAAAGCCGAGCTCTTGCAAGCACATTAAGCACTGAATGATCACTGAACACCATACTAGGCAATGGATAGACACATCATAAGCTGTTGATAAACTTTCTGCACTGGGAAATCAGCTCATTTGTGAACCTCCTGACTTTGGCATTTAAAATATATTTGCATTCTTCTGCACAGCGACACTCTACTCAACCATTACCATGATGTCTTACCTGCTTGTAAGTTACAGGAGGCAGAAACTGGACCTGTCAAGCAAGGTAGGTGGGTAAGACGGGGGGAGCTCATCCCTGAAATGGTAAATTGTAATCCATCCCAGTTTTAATGGTTTAGATCTAAACTATTTTGAGTGATTAAGGATATACTTCTACACAGTACATTCGCCAAACTGCTGTAGCCATATCAAGGGATGGGGATTGTCTCCTTTAAGAGGCACAAATAATCATAAACTGGTAAACACCCAATTCTTTTATGCTGCAAACAGGAATTGATTTTTAAAAAAATGTGTCTCCATAGTTGAGACCTTGTTTAATGAATGTCATCCCGGAATGCATTTGTATTGCTGATTTGGAATCCCCTGACTAAAGAGATTATGGGAGAGCATTGCTGGGACATGATGCTATTGAGTAATGATTATGTTATTAGGAAAATGAACTTTTCCTACACCCATTTGGAAAGGATCACATGGCTGAACTGTCCGCAAATCAGAAAACAAATCTGTCAATTTAGGAAATATACATATGTATTGGGATATCACGTAGTACAGTAGCACCTGGGGACCCAATCAAGCATCAGGATGCCCTTGTGCTAGGCGCTGTTTAGACAGATAACAAAAGACACTTCCGCCAGCTCCACCTAGTTTAAAGTTAGGGTGATTAATCTGGGGAGACTGAAAACATCTCTTTTAAGCAGCTTGGAAGTTTTTAGAAGACTTTCCTCTCCAGGGGTTTGCAATGATGATGGCATCAGCAGTAAGGGTGGTAAAGGAGATTTTAATCACAGAAGATTGGTCTTGCCAAGAGCTGCTAATAAATTCACAACAATGGAATGGAGGGTGTGTGTGTGTGATTTCCTGAGTCATTTCAGAGATGTGGGGTCTTAGGGTGCAGAAAGATTAAAATAGCCAGGTGGGAGACTTCTGTTCAAAAGCATAAGAGCTAAGGATGATGGAGGTTCTGAGGATACAAGGACAAGTAGTAGACAGAGGTAGGGGACAACGAACGGGTGTATTGTTATTAACAACTATTTGTATTGTGGTAGAACCTAGGAGCCCTAGTCACAGACCAGGATTCCATGGTGTGAGGAGCTGTACAAAGACAGAACAAGAAGGTAGTCCCGGCCCAGAGAGCGCAATCTCAGTAAAGGACAATCATTTCCATGTGGTAGCACTTACAATGGGCTAGGCACCTTCCAAACACTCAAAAACGACCCCTGCTCCAAGGGGCTCACAATCTCAGGTGGTCCAAGCCATCTAGAATCACTGTCAAGAGCATGTCAGGAGTGGGTGCTTAAGATTAGTTTGAAAAATGTGAGTACACTGTACATGGAGGCAAGCCCCTCAGCCACTGTAAATCAGCTTAGACCCCTTGAAGGCAAGAGAGTGATGCTGATTTGCATCAGCCACAGATGTGGCCTGAAACCAACCCAGCATCTGAAAACAGAACTGGAAATACAGTGCTAGCAAGTGGGTGTCTTCATGACTAATGCCATGCCACAATATTACATTTACAAATAGAGAGAAAAATGTACAGTTCTCTCATACAGAACCATTAGCTGGAAGGTCACAGAATGAAACCAACTGGTAATTTGCCATGGTGCTTAAATTAGCTGTTTATTTAGCCATCACATTATTCCCAATCTGGGCTGATATTTAGTCATACATAAGCATCTCATTTCCACAAGGTTCACTCAAGGAAATAGCTCAGCATCATTTGGCTGCCTGTTGTTCCAGAAGCTGCCTCTCCCAAAGGAATCTACCCCATTAATCATAACACAACATGTAGTAATTATAACAATACTGCCTACAGTTAAACTTCAAATTTTCCTCCTGCTTGTTTCATGGAGGTTATGTTCTCTCCTTTGGCTTTCTTCAGGATGCTGCAAGTGCATAGGATTAATTTAGTTGCTGATCCAATGGGAATTAAAGAAACAACAACCTGAATTCTTGATGTGCTCATAATGATGTGCTTAGTCTGAATTTGTAGCCACCTTTCAGTGGCATTACCTGATCTTTAGTA